CTTCTTCCTCATTTCGCTTTGCATGTGCAGCAGGGAAGCTGAAATCGTGCCACTCAGCCAGCTAATTTATACATGTGCAACTGGCTACAGTCATAGAAGCAATATCCAAGTTGTTTTTTTTCTTTTTTTTTCTTTTTTTTTTTTTTTTTAAACTGGCTAGTGTAGCTCAAGGCAAACACTGAAATCACACCAATCTCAAATCACACCTTTTTACAGTCCTCCATATCTCTTAACCTTTACCGTGCTCAAACACATCTACCCCATTAAATAGAGGTTACTGCTCCTGAAACTTGTTTCCTGCAGCTCAACCCTCCTGTTGGACATCCTGCCTGTGGCCGTGGAGGGCTGCCATGCAAACGCTTACAATGCAAACCACCTTCAGAAAAGAAAATGGTTGTTTTCACCCATGCAGTACTGCTGCAAGAAACAGCGCTTGCTGTGATTTAGTGCGTTTACAGCTACATCAGTTAAACTTCTGAACTCTTAACTCCATCTCTGAGTATCTCTAACACCGGGAAGAGGTGCCACATGTTCAATGACATTATCCTCCTCTATGTTTAACGTAGCAGAACTTACACACAACGAGGACGTTAACTAGGGTCTCATGCCCCTCTGCAATAACATAAGTGGTTATTGCACAACTAAGGTAAATCCACATACATTTTATTATCATCCCTCTTAATGGAAAGGGAGAGAGCAATTTTAGATTTTTTAGATTTTATACATTGTCCAGATATTTTTTTAGCTTCACCTCCAAAATGTGCATATTTTTATCCTCCCTTACTTTTTCTAAATTGTGACTCAAACTCCCAGAATACAGGTGAAAAAAAGACCATTCCTGGAGAGTTTTTAGCATGACTGACCTTATGAGAAAAACATACAGGTATTCTGCTTTACGATAGTCATCCCAAATACTCCACTGTATAATAAAACGGTCACACAGCAAATTTGCAATGTCTGCTCCAAGTAGATTTCTCAAACTCAAACGATTTCTTGTCAGTATTTAACACGTGTGTGTTTTACAGATATACTCCCAATAATTGCACTGTATGCTTGTGATATTGCATTGGTTTTAGTGATTAGGATGCTAAATTCCAGAAATAAAATGATCACCATTATTGGCACTTTTGTTAATTGAATGCAACCTCTGATGTTTTCCAAATTTGCATAAACCTGACTTTGCCCCATTATGAGCTCATTCTCAGATTAAACACAGCTCATGACACTTCAATGTGTTAACTCTGCTTCATGGTATTTCCTACCAGTGTTTAATTTCTTCTTTAATTGACCAGAGACTCTATGTCCACACAAGTCTTTAATAAAAAGATTTCAAATTCTAAAGACACTACCTTGACCTTTACTGGAATCAAAAGTACACAGAAAATTAGGATATTAATTTCAAAAAGTCCTTTTTAAAGTGAAATTTCTCCCAATAAAAGGTCAAACCTTATTATCTATAAAATTAACACTGTGTCAATCAAATTTGCTCTTACACATTGTTTCAATTATGTTTGGGAAGGTACAGGAACTGTTTAGATCACAACATAATTCATGCTTAGCTACCTTTCTCTGCAGTTAATTTGATAATGCTCAAAAATAATATCATAAAGTTCAAAAAGAAAATCATGAACAACTAAATCATTTCCTGCAGTGGAATGACTCCATTTTCTACGTTCCATTCACGGTTACTGTCCTACTGGTAAAGAACAGGTTTGTGATTTACTGACAAAAGAGAACGATGTGATAGATTTATACAAAGAACTACAAAGCATGAAGCTCCTGGTTTCACTTCTGACAGAAATCATCAGCATTTTACAAATAAGAAAAATGCCCAGGCACTTGTCCCCTGTGCTGAAGCGTGATAACACGAAGCCGGTGCGGGCTGAGTCCAATGACAGATTCCCTGCTGACATCAGGGACAGGGTATGGGAAAAAGTCTCACTGAGAGTTTTGTTTCCAGCTGTCTCCACTCTTCACCCAAGATGGCACACGAACGTAAGGTCATTTTAAAAAGAGGCGATCATCGAATATGGTGGGGCAACAGTAACTATATAAACTCTATATGCTATGAATACTAATATAAAACAATGTTTATTTACTGTTTTAATGTATGTCTAAGGTCCTTTAGCAAGGTCTGAGGTCCAGGGGTCTATCTGATTTTTGAACCTCACCTTATCAGAAATACTGTTCCAGATCAGCGCACAACTCTCAGACACCTGTGTACAGTGAGCGTCATGTTTGCAATCCCTGATACCGCCAATTAACGTTAACACTGCTCAGGCTCCTGCTGGACTGGCAGGAACTGAACTTGGGGGAAGATGGATCGGGCTGCAGCCCTCTGACTGGGCTGGCTGGTCTGTGTGGTGCTGGGCCTGGACTGGGGTGCTCTGTGTTACCCCTGGAGCTGTGCTGGGTACCAGCTCACACTGCTGTACTGGGCACTGGACGTTACCTGAGCTCTTCTGTTTCCCCAGATAAGGACAGGAAAGTCTGTGGCACTCAGACTGCCTCAGTGCATGTGCCAACACATCTCGGATTTGACTTAGAGATAAGATGACAGGCCAAAGGAAATGATAACCTACACTGAATGCTTTTGAAAAAAGTATCTCTAAGGATGGGTTGGTTTTTTTTCCTCTCCTTCCTTTTCACCCCAGGTCTATTAGCCCAAGCAAATAACTTGCTCTATTGGAAACGCCTCTGAATTTTCAATTTACCGCCTTTCTCCTTTGGCAATTGTTAATCCTGCCTTTGGCTGTCCTCTCACATAAAGTCCCACCATATTCACTGGAATTAGCCAGGCTGCGCTTACTGACCTGAAGAAAGAGGTTTGCAGTTTGTGGACAACGCTGTTTTAAAGGGAATGCACACAGTTATGTTCAATCTGCGTTTTTTTCCTTTTTAAGTTAACATAACCTTCTTTAAAAGTCCTGAAATAATTCTGTATCCACTTCATATTATCCTACCACACTCTGGCTTGTCATCTCATGTAATATCCCTTTCCAAGGTGGACATTAGCTATAGTGGCTGGAAAAATGAAGTGGGTTTCACAGCTTTGCTAGTTAGCATTATCAATAGCCTGGAAATGAGTTGGGGAACACTGTCCAGGGATATTGTCAGTCCCAGTCATAACCGCAGGGGACAAGGCAGACCCCGAAGCCCACCCAGCTCCCCAGCCGGCCCCAGGACCAGGTGTGACCAGAGGCAAGTAACTGGGTATGGTTGAGGGTGCGGCTCCAGAGGAGCTCCTGCCCCTCTCAGCTCCCACAAATTCCACTCTGACAGGTACAGACCAGCAGATAATTTCTCTAGTTACCAACATGCCTCTAAGTCTAACGTGTTCCACAAGCTGTTTGGTAATTAATCCAGCGGTGATACAGACCACAAGGTTAACACCAGCGATTTAAGCTCTGCTATTTATCGCCACTTCCATGTGTGGCTGAGCTCCATACAGTGAGGCGGTACGATACTCCTGAATGATCATTATTAACACCTTAGCATGACAGTACTAAACGCACACATGTGGTTTCTGATGACTTCATTCAGAGAAGTCAATAATGCTGGAGCAGATTAGCTCCCGTGCTAACCGTACTGCAGAGTCACAAACAAACAGGAACAGCTGCGGGGGCTGGATGCTGACCCAGTACCCAGATGCACAGGATTCCTTTTCTCTAACCCACGTTAAATACCTTCTCTTGCTCTGCTGTTCAGTGCAGAGGCTTTTCCCTTCTCTTGGTTTTCCAGAATGGAAAAAATTCTGAAAATTAAGATGGGTTACCCAGCAGTGAGCTTCTTGGCTTAGAACAGATAAGCGATGCGTGTTACTGCCCTAAGCGCAACACAGAGGTACACCCAAAAATCCACTGTCATCCAGACTAGTTTCCACAGTTGGAAATATTCAGCTTCTTGTTACTTCTATTCTCTTTGAGGATATTTGACTTCATGATTAAAACATATACAACTTTGTCCTTTTGATAATCCCTCAATGATATTATCCTGACTTTTTACTTTCATTGCAAGATGACATTTCCCAGTGTTACCAGATTTTAAGATGCATTTAAAAAATCTTTATCCAATAGCAAGTAAAAGACAGAAATAAGTTCAGTGCTGCACTTTTCCATGGAAATTTACTAAGAAAAATATGTATATGAATATATAAGTAAATCATCATCTCAGCAGAATTTTTTTTCCTTTATACTTAAGGCGATATTTTCTTTTTCCTGTCAGGCCCTGCAAATGTTCCCTGAATCATGTGGTTACAAAAATGTAGAATTACTCTCCTAAAAAGAACGTTTTACAATTCATCACCAGGGCTAAACCAGCTGCAGCTGTGAAAAAGCGTTAGCATATTAGCTGTTATATGACAGACAAATCTTTTATTTATTTTGTGCCTTTAGCTCTGGAGATTTGGAATGTTCAGGATTTTCTCTTTCTTTCTCTGCTCCAAAGTCACTCACTGAATTTTCACTAGATAGTTTAATGTTGATTATATCTGGCAGAAGGAACTTTAATCCACACAATATGTAAAAAATATTGCATTTTAACAAGGGTTTTAACATGTTTTTATTGTCACTGTCATTGTATTGAACAGAATAGAATTCAGCATATCAGGGATGAGTTGTTATTGGTATTTAGGTGCCTTAGGCTTACTAACTGCTCAAATTTTATAAAGAAATTAACTCTGATAAAGATGATTTATTACTTTACAAGAATGTTCATGGACTATTTGCCTCTAGCATTAAGATCTTAGTGTAGGAATAAATGTGTGAGACTTAACCATAAATCAAAGCTGTTCTAAGTTTGAAGTTTTAAGTTAATTCCTCTATTTTCTGTTTCTCATGAGGATCTAACACTTTTAGGTGGCCACCTAACAAAGTGCTGAAGCACATATTTAACTTCACACATGCACCTTTCTGAACAGAAGACCTCACACAGGGAAAAAAGTCATATACGTTAATGAACAATCCATATTCACTGCTGTAATGTGATTCCATGCTACTCACCACTGTCTATTGCTAGAAAGAGAGCAGTGTACTTGTTATCCTGAACATAAGGAGATTCCCGGTCCAGGATCGCAGTAGTGACAATGGTACCGTTGGTGGGGTTAATTTCTAGCCAGCCTGCTGGGTCCTTGTAAACCGAATACCTAAATAAAAAATATAGAAGTTGTTAACAAATGATATATCTACATAAAAACATTGCATTACTACAAAATATGGGTTATTCAAGTTATTTTGGGTGAGGCTGGAAATGGACTATGGATTCATTAGGTCTAACAAGAGCTGGTTATATGCAGACCTGGTTGCATACATTTGTCTGTGTTCTGTAGTTTCCTGCTTCTGATGATTTCAAATGGATGCTCGGCATCTTGAAACAATTCAACCACATACATATTGTTTAAACGGGGATTTGAAAATGCTGTCTGACAAGACTCCTCAAAACAAAATTCACAGAATCACAGAATGGGTTGGGTTGGAAGGAACATTAAAGATCATCAAGTTCCAACCCCCTGCCACAGGCAGGGACACCTTCCATTAGCCCAGGTTGCCCAAAGCCTCCTCCAGTCTGGCCTTGAACCCCTTGTTATGTTGGGGGCTCCAGAGCTGAACACCCTACTGCAGGTGAGGTCTCACGAGAGCAGAGCAGAGGGGCAGAATCACCTCTCTCGACCTGCTGGTCATGCTGCTTTTGATGCAGCCCAGGGTATGGTTGGCTTTCACTTTCATTTTTATGCTTACTTTGCATTAATTGGCACAAATATTTAAACCCTGATACTAATGATATGTAGAAAGATTATGGAGTTCATGCACTGAGAACTGCCCTGCTTGAGTGAAGTAATAAACACGATTAGGGCTGATTCTATACACAGTTAAATACATTAAGTAATATAACAACACAGAGCTGAATTAACTGGTACCAATTCCCTCTCCAATTAAATGTGTTAATATTTTAAACCAAAACTCAAATCATATAATCAATACTTAGTATAATAACCTGTTTATCTTTTTTGTAGTGAATTGTTATAGGTCATAAACAGCCATACAACCTTCCATAGACATTCCAAATGATAAATAATTGACATGAAACCTCTTATTGCTTAGTGAGCATCTGCCTCACCAGTGCCTCATAGTGGCATTCATCTGAAAGGGGTCCTCTGTGATAATGCTGCAAAAAACAATTTATCAGTGCAAAGTGCAGAGGGAATAATAAAAAATAACAGATTGTTAGGGGTGTAAAAAAAAAAAAGTAAGGAAATTAAATAAAATGATGGTTGCTAGGAGAGGAAATAATAAATTGCAGGCCAACAAAGAAAGACATGGTCAGCAACACAGACATCTTTTCCCAGCCCACAGATCAGGCATCCATTGTAACAGGGTTAGCTGGAGGCAGGCAAGGCTTGAATATACGCCTGAGAAAGCACAGGGCTCCAGAACTCGCATGAATTTGCCATGTGGCCCACAGGTTATTTAAATAAACTATTCCATAGATTGACATGATACTTCAAAGATCAAGAAAGTGCTTTTAATTCAAAAGAATGATAGTCCAAAGAAAAAATATTGTTTGAAAAAACGAAATAACATGTAGCAGAAAACTTTCTCATCAGAGAAATACCTCTCACCAAAAACCTCATCATTTGCCTCAAAATTTCTTTGATGTGTCTCCAGGGGAAGTGATATCATCCTACAGAAGATGAACATGGCTAATTTCAGAGGTGCTAACACTGTCCACATGACTGCTTTTCTTTACCAAGACTTTGCTTCAGGCTTGAAAAATACAACCTCCTCAGGGCTGCCGAACCAGCTTGACTTTGCCATGGCACATAGGAACACACTGGTGTTCCATGTTTTTATGAGCCATTATTCTGACAAAATAAATTAAAGGACAAACTTGGAAACCAGAACCTTCTGGAATTTATGAGAAAAAAGACGCAAACACTGAAAACACTTGGCTTGTTCATGCTCCCACAAAAGTCACTCAGAGTTTGACCACTGGCTTCCCCAGGAGCAGAAATTATCCCTCTGGGAATATGTGGAAAAGAATCAAAGGCAAATGCTAGGGCACAGTGAGACATTCCATCAACCCATGTCTTTCCACTTAATAACCATTTAAACATTAATCAATACCTGAGCTTTATCTCCCGTAAAAATGAATTACTAGAATAGTAACAATGCCGATCATTATTTCATTTCACTTCTTTGTTTCATAAAAATGAGTTATTAGAATAGTAACAATGCAGATCATTATTTCATTTCACTTCTTTGTTTCTTTTTTATTGTTGTTTTTATAACTTTGCAACAAAGGTATGCACAAAAATATGAAACAAGGGCAGCCTAAACAATTCCTACTCTATTGTAAAACTGCAAATTCTCAATTAACCCCAAAACAATTTAAGAAGATTCAACACTTCTAAAGTAATGAGAATTTAAAATGGATTGTATTATCTTCCTGGATTGCTCTACAAAGTACTGTTGGCTGTACAAATAAAAAACCTGAATTGTATAACCTGTGATTTGGCACACGATATTGTGAAAGTAGTACTTTGTCTTTCCCACCACATTTTTTACTTATTGTAAGAGTATATTGCAGTACAGTTAAGATGACTGTTCTTTGTTCCTTTTTCTGAGGGCTCTGCTAGGAATAGGTTTAGAATAGAGTCATTAAGAAAAGCACTATAAAAAATAGATGTACAGAATACAAAGTTTCACTTCATAGTTTTGACTTTATTGGGACCTGCTGATTGCACAGCAGTTTTGAAAGTCAGACCATTTTTTTAGGTGGTTAAACATGAACTTATGTGCCTGCATGTACATAGTTAGTTTTGAAAATCATAAGTACATTGGTACACCTGTGTGGATGTATACAGAACTGTGTTCTCTGGTGTGCCAATTACTGTTTCTTTTGGACTTTCACTATTTTGCAGTAGTGAAATTTAGTGCTGCTTTGGGAGTTTCTTTATTTCATTGGGGTTTTTTTTTTGTTTGTTTTTTGTTTTTTTTGTTTTGTTTTTTTTTTTTTTTGGGGGGGGAGGTTAATTTTTACACCATGCCAACAGCTTACAGTTCCCAAGGGCTTATATGCCAACAAGGGATGGGCAGGTGGGTGTAACCTATTTTGGTTGTGACCTCCTTGCAGTCGGTTCATGCCCTTGCACTATCTATCTATAAAGCAGGTATTGCAAAAGAAGCAGAAAAACCAATTCCCTTAGACTGGAAATTTTCTGCTGCAAAGTATACACCCAAAAAATAGACCCACACACAGATGCAGAGAGGCTAAAGATGCAGAACAAGAGAAACACAAATAAAAACACACCCTTGCCCAATTTGGTGCAGAACTAAAATAAAATGGCAAATATATGGAAATAATTTAAAATGTATAAATGGCATCATCTTCTTCCTGTAAACCAGGAAAACAATTCAGAGAACACCTCCGGGGGTTGCTAGCAAAGGGGCATGGTGCCAGCGGCTGGCAGCTTGATTAGCACAGAAGATGGTTGCACAGAACAGTGGTGATGATATGGACACAGAAATCTAACCAGAGCCACAACCTTGCGCTAGCCACAAAAAGAGTTTCAGAGCCGACGGTGCAACAGCCCGGGGCATCAGAGGAGAGCAGCCAGGCATCTCGCACGCACTCAAGTGCTGCTCTTGGCAACGACTCCCAGAGCGTGGGAGCTGCCAGACTTCTCCGTGCGGAGTCAGGGGTCTTGGCTCTTGTGCTTTAACAGAAAGGGAAGGACGGCAAAATGAAGCCGTGCCAAACCTGCGCTGAATGACACACCTGCGCGAGCTGGAGGTGCCGCAGTGGCAGGAGTGAAGGTGAGCGATCCAGACAGGCTGGTCAGGGCGGCGGTTTTCAGCCTTGTGCCATCTGGACACTGTTCAAGTCACGTCGTACGGAGACTGTATGGCCAGAAAGACGCGACAGAGAAGAAGTGGTGCAGTGGCACTGGCCCTGTGAAATGTCTCTGTGATCCTGCAGCTGGGCTTTGCTATGATAATGCAGAACAGGGCGAGAGACTGCAGGCAGCAAGTTGACACTGTGGTGACTAGTGACCGAGGCTGGTCTGGCTGAATCAGGACTTGGAGAAATTGGGCTTTGGGTCCTGGTTCTGTCACATTGGAATCAGGGAAGCCCTTCAATTCACGCTGTGCCCCCAACTCAGCTTTAAAATGGTGAAGTTCTATTTCTGCCTTGAAAAGGTGTTACCAGGACAAAGTCTGTAAATCACTGCAAAAGGACCGAGAACGCAGAGCAATGAGAGACACTAGAAGTACTGAGACAGAACAGAACAGAATAATTTGAATAGCTTTCTGAAGATGCAGAAAGATATTTACTGGCATTTTCAAATGGTATAGTTGCTCATCTCCTTAATTTTTTTTAAATGTTTAAAATACAGTTAAGCTCAGATGAGTTAAAATTCCTATTCTCTGTTATAAAAATACATATAGAGAGAGATATAGACACTTACTGGGCTTGGGTGAAACTGAAAGTGGGGAAATATTGATAGCAACCATTTTCATACTCTTTCAGCCCGACTGGCTGGAGTCAGTATCAGAAGTATAACAAAGCTTATTCATATATTACATTTCCAAATCATATTTGCTGCTTTTATGGATCATGGTCCCTCTGACATAAATGAAAAAATACCAGTTGAATAGACCCAATATTTCACCTAAGCAGTATAGCTACACATTTGTATTTGAATGAAAAGCATTCATACTATCCACATTTCTGAATCCATATCAGTTCATCTACAATGAGGTAACGTATCGAAGTTACCATATCTGTCTTTCTCCTGCTGGGACCATACCATATAATGACAGTCTCTGAAATTTTTCTATGTGCTGTTCAGCGTTCTATGTTCTATGTTCAGCTCAGCGTGAGAGCTCCTTTTTGCTTCTGAATGAAAAAATCTCTAAATACAGACATTATGTAATCTTTAAATCAAGCCAATGTGAATTTAATCTCATTATATCAAGTCCATCTGAAAAATCAAGAGCGACTACCTCTGGAAAAAGATTCACAGGTATCTGGGAGAGACCGGTGTAGCCATCGCAGTATATATATACACGTGCCTATGTAAACAACGGTGGTTGTAAGAGAAAAACAAAAAAACTTCCCAAAATATAAGTGTAACATTAAAAC